GAGAGAACATGGCTACAGAACCTGGCTGGAGAACCTGGATAATGTGGCTGGAGAACCTAGCAAGAGAACATGGACACAGAACTTGGCTGGAGATTGTGGCTAGAGATCCTGGCAAGGCTGCTGATCAACTGAACGCTGTCTCCGTGTCATTCCTTCTTCGCCGACTCCGTCCACACCTTTGGGGACCCCTGGACCTGCTGGGGTTGGACCCCAGCAGCAAAAATTATTTTTAAATAACTGTAGTCATTAAGTAGCTTCTTTTGTCCAACAAGATTTACCTATTTCCATTTTCCCTGATTTCCATTTTCTTTTATTCTTTTTCATTACTAAATCCATTCAAAGTTAATTTAGTATTCTTTATTACACTTAAAGTTACATATATATTGAAGAATGAATGGGTATTCCCCTGACAGCCTTCTCTTAAAAGCCTTTTCTGTTCAAGTAAATAAAATTAAATTGGCAAAGACCTTTGACCTCAGTGTAATCAACTCACTCTGGGGTTTTTGCATCTCCAGATGCAAAGGGACTGTAGTGAGGGAAACAACGAAATTATGAGACCAGCCCGAACGTTGGGAGCAGAACTGAAAGCAAAAAAATAATCCAAACAAAGAGTTCTGTTTACCATTCTGTTCCTTGGGAAAGCACCAAATAGACCAAGTCCAAGGCTGAAGTATAAACCAATAAAAACACTTTTGGAGGGGGATCATAGATTAAAACTGACTGTGAAAGAGACAAAGGGAAAAGGTAGAAGAAATAAGGGTGGAAAAATAGTGTACTAGTATTTCCTGTTAATATATATCTTCCAGGACTTGAAAATGTCAAGAAAATCACAACTATATGAACCCCTTAGGGAATGTGTTAGTATGTATAATAGAGCTTTCCAGAAAATGGAAAGATAAATAAGCAAATAGGTTGGATTTGAGTGTGAACTAAGAATAAATAGATTCTACATGAGCGCAACAAGAGATTTCCTGTGAATAAACTCCATGTGCTTTTGTTAGATTTTGTGATGTATCTTAACAGTTTTTCAAAATCTATAGGTATAATTACTGGTTTTCACTTGCTTACTGGGTAACATCCCAGAACTTGCTCTGGAATGGAGAGATGTTATGATGTGAGGTTTTGAATAGCACTGTACCTTAGATCATCATTCTTTAATGCCAATTTAGAAGTTGAATTTGTCAAACTATATTGAGAAAAAATGGCAAGTAACTTAAACTCCATCCTTCAGCTTCCTCAGTTGTAAAGTGGCATTAATAACTAGCCCACCCACATATGTCTGTGTGAAAATTAAGTGATTTTTGACACTTAAAATGAATGAAACAATGCCTGGTACATACTAAATGTTCATAGAAATAATTATTATGAATTAAAACGTTTTTGTTATATAAAATATCGAGATATAATTTTACAAATTCAGTAATAAACAATAATAAAGAAAGAAAATCAATAATAAATAATGCTCACTGAGTCAGGCCGATGTGGCTTGTGGTTGAGTGTCCACCTATGGGGGACCAGCGGGTCACAGTTCGATTCCCAGTCAGGGCACATGCCCGGGGTTGCGAGCTCGATCCCTGGTAGGGGTTGTGCAGGAGGCAGCCAATCAATCATTCTCTCTCATCATTGATGTTTCTATCTCTCTCTCCCTCTCCCTTCCTCTCTGAAATCAATAAAAATAATGTTAAAAAAATAATGTTCGCCGAAACCGGTTTGGCTCAGTGGATAGAGCGTCGGCCTGCGGACTGATGGGTCCCAGGTTCGATTCCGGTTAAGGGCATGTGCCTGGGTTGCGGGCACATCCCCAGTGGGAGATGTGCAGGAGGCAGCTGATCGATGTTTCTCTCTCATCGATGTTTCTAACTCTCTATCTCTCTCCCTTCCTCTCTGTGAAAAATCAATAGAATATATTAAAAAAAAATAATGTTCACTGAGTGCATAGATCAAAACTGAAGGCTTTTAAAGTAAAAGACATACTACGAATTATATAAAATCCTTAGGTCCAAATATCTGTAACAATACAGATATTAATGTCCTTTTACAAGCAGATAGAAACATTTTAAAAACTTTATCAATTGGGATAATCCTTAGCCTCCATGGAACCTGACAGTAGAGGAATATTTATGTATTTATCTATTTATTTCTGATCTATCATTACTTCTTTGCTCATCCTATAGATTATATCAAATCTAATCTTTAAAATGGAAGAAGCCAAAAACCCAAGTTTGGAAGAAGACTTTGAAGGACAGGTGACACATACAGGTAAGCAAAGCAATAGGAAGAAAACTAATTATTAAATTAAAATTAAACCTGAAGATCTCCACTGTTCTTATTGCCACTATTCAGTATGGAATTTGTTATATCTTTGAGTGGTCTGATGGAATCATCTAAAAAGAATTGAGTGGGTACATTAATGTGAGATCAAGTACTTTAAAAAAAGTTTTACTTAGAAGTTAAGGAATGAGAATTTTAATTTGAAACACTAGTTATTGAGGATTTCTTGGTGCCAGCTCTCATATGTACACTAAAATTGAGCCACTATCCTCTCTCCTGATACCCCCCACTATGGACTTTCGGACTTTCTTTGCAATTGTAAACAATAATAGACCAAAAGATAAATAAATAAATTAAGTTTTTAAATTTGTTACTCTGTAAAAAGTAAAGATAATGATAAAACATTCTTAAATCAATTTTTGTCCAGAAAACCTTACAAGATTGTCAGAAAAAAAATGTGGAAGCAACAATGTACATCAAAAAGAAAATGCTTAAGTAAATTAATACCTATACAATGAAATACCATTACTCCAGTTTTTAAATAAAGGAAGCATCTCTGTATGTATGTATGTGAAAAATATCTCTGAGATATATTATGAGATAAAAAAAAAAGCAAGGAAGGGAAAGTATATATAATATACTACCATTTTTTTAAACAAGTTGAAAAATTATTTTTTTATATACATACTAGAGGCCCAGAGCATGAAATTTGTGCAATCGGGGGTTCTCTCAGCCTGGCCTCACCCTCTTACAGTCTGTGAGCCCTTGGGGGATGTCCTACTGACAGCTTAGGCCCGCTCCCTTAGTGCTGCTGCAGAGCCTGGCTTCTGGCTGAGCGGCCCTGCCCCTGTGGGAGCGCACTGACCACCACGGGGCAGCTCCTGCATTGAGCGTCTGCACCCTGGTGGTCAGTGTGCACTGTAGCAACTGGTTGTTCCGCTATTCAGTCAACTTGCATATTAGCCTTTTATTATATAGGATAAACACATGCTATAAATGTTCATATTTTGTATTTGTAGAACATACCTGGAAGACAAAGGTGACAGAAGTAAACAAAAAAACATTAATTGCCTAAATATAATGAATGCAAAGGTGGGCAAAAGTAGGTTTACAGTTGTTCATATGTAAAATAATCTATATATATAAAACCCTAAGCGACTGGTCAACTAATCAACCGGTGGACTGTTTGACCGGTTGCTATGACATGCACTGACCACTGAGGACAGATGTTCAACCCAAGTGGTCAGTGCACTCCCACAGCAGGAGCGCCACTCAGCTGACCGACAGGTGCCAGACGCCGGGCTCAAGGCTGGTGAGAGCAGCTGCAGAGAGGCGAGCCTCTCCCACCTCCAAAGCAACACCAAGCAGCAGCAGCAGACAGAGCAGGGCCAGGATGAGCGGGAGCAGCATGGTGCCCAACCCCGGGCTCGGGCTCCTCTCCAGCTGCCTGCCGCTTCACACACTACTACATATCCTCGGGGGATGTAGGATTGCCGGTTTCAGCCGCTCCCTGCAGGCCAGGCTGAGAGACCCCACTTGTGCACAAATTTGTGCACTGGGGCCTCGCGTTAATAAATAATAATACAAGAATACACTGTTTCATGTCCTCACAACTGTAAATCTATTTTTGCCCCCACACTATAAATAAATTTATATTAAAATTATATAAATAACAATTCTTAGAAAATATGTGGCAAAAGAAAATATGTTCTCATATATAACATAATATTAAAGATATGGATATGGGTAACCTTTCATGAAGAATATGTAAAACTGCATTATTTTCAAGAATTTAGACCTTCTTCCAAACACTGTTATTATTTATCAGGGCAACTGAATATCAGAATTGCAGTTGGATCACCATTGATATAAATATGCAAATCCTATCCTTTCTATATTTGTAAAAGATTTTTAGAATCTTAGGAGGTATTAGATGATCATATAATGATTTTTATTGAGGTTAGGCCTCCCTCTCACTGGTTTTCTTTTACGTGCTATTGTTATTTTGGATCTTGATATATTTTAATTTGTTTCTCCAATAATCCTAGTTTCCTTTGTTATGGCGTGGTGCCAATTTTAGTTTATTGCTGAAGCATTTCTGTTATGTAATAAAAATGCTGTTTTTCTAAAATTCTAATTTCCTCTCTACACTCTAAATTTTTAATATCTTTACCCCCAAATTTTGACAATAGTTCAAAGCCCACAATTTGCATTTTCATCAATGCAGGTGTTTCAGAAAGATTCTTAGCCAAAACCTATTTAACAGGATTAATGTGGAGAAAACATTTTTACGAGGATGGTAGTCTGAAATTTCTAGCCCAAACAAGATGTTCGTTTCTGATTCAGAACATGACAAGTCTATTCCCATGGTGACACACACATGTCAATGTATGAAGTCCTTTTGAAAATAAAAAGGGAAACAATTGATTTTTAATTGTATTTCAGGACCCAAAGGAGTAATACATGATTGGAGAAAGTTTAAATTAGAGAGCGAAGATAACGACTCAGTCCCACCGAGCAAGAAGGAGATTCTCAGACAAATGTCTTCTCCTCAGAGTAGGGATGACAGAGACTCAAAGGAAAGATTCAGCAGAAAGGTAAGCTAAGGAAAAATCAATAAATAATGTACAATGTGTAAACATGAGTCATGGTTTTTTACAGCACTGTTTTTATCAGCTTACTTATGTACTTGTTATATAAGGTGTATGTCTATGTGCATGAAAAGATACATTAGAAGGTGATCTCTATGATGTTAATGGAGATTATCCCAGAGTATCAGAGTAGTGACATTACTTTCTGCCTTTAGGTTATCATTAATTTTTGAATCTTTACCATTAGCAGGTATTAATTTATATAACAACAACAATATTTTCAATTTATTTTTATTGTTTTTTTAGAGAGGAAAGGGGAGGGAGAGTGAGACAGAAACATCAATGATGAGAGGGAATCATGGATGGGATGCCTCCTGCATGCCCCGAATGGGGATCGAGCCTACAACCCAGGCATATACCCGACCAGGAATCAAACCGTGAGCTCCTGGTTCACAGGTCGACGCTCAACTACTGAGCCACATCTGCCAGGCAACAACAATATTAATTTTAAAAACAATAAAGTGATTTTCACTGTGGGAAAAATCACTTTAGTGGATTCTCTTCAAACTAGTATATTTGAGTTGTTGTATATTGACTCTTAACAGACAGTGCTTCAGAAATATATTTGCTTCCAGGCTTCTGGCCACTGTGAAAGTCTAAGATGTTGGTTTTGGTTCCTTCACTGAGTCATTATGTAATGTGGGAGAGACAATTAAATTTTCCCATCTTAGGAACTGTAACATCTTCTCCACTTGCTTTACAGGGATGTGAAGAGAAAGTAAGTGTAAAAGTGTTTTTGAAATATGTAAAATGCTACACAAACATGAGATATTATCATTGTTAAAGCTGTACTAAGGTTAAGCTTTAGCAATGTGTCTAATCATTAAATATCTATATGCTTGAATATGTGAATGGAACAAGTTCTCATAAAAATGCTCAAATGTTTAAGTCAGTATTTGTGTGGTTTAGTTTGTTTAAATTAACATAATTATAGTAGCAACTTAAAAATTATACAACACATTTAACAATTTTTAGGTTTAAAACAAATTAGCCCTGCCAGCATGGCTCCGTGGTTGAGTGTCAACCATTTAACCTGAACTTCAGTATCTTCTGTAAAATTATGTATTACCAGCTACCTTATAGGTTTGTTGTGAGGATTAAGTAAAATAATCTATGTAAGTTGCCTTAGATATAGATTTTTCTTAAATCCCACTTTCTTGCCTTCTCAATTGTCTACTTGAAATACTGTCAGCAGTTGCTGTGTGAGAGGCTACCGGTGAGGAGGCTGATGGATCCCCTTGGGAACTGTCCACCTTCCATGGTTCTCGGCTGCTCCATGGCTCTTTAGACCCTTTATTGCTCTTTTGTACCCTTTCTTCTTCTATTTCCGCCTTTTCTTTTCTTTTTTTTTTTAAGGGTGGTTGTAGGGAATGTGTTTTTAACATTCTGTTGAATAAGTTGATAATAGTGTAGCTCTTAAGAAAGGTTCTGCAAATAATTTTATATTGCATCTGAAGTGATAAGTAGCTGCATTGGAAGATGAAAGGCCATCTCTTGCTTTAGCCTAAACCAGTGGGTAAGAGTTGCCTAGAGGGCTTGTTTCAATAGGGCTCACCCAGTCTCACCCGTACAGGTTCTGATTTGATAGATCTGGGGTGGTGCCCAAAAATTTGCATTTCCCAGCACTTCTCAGGGGATGCTGATGCTGGTAGAGCAGGAGCCTCCTGGCTAATCTGATGAACTCTAAATAGTAGTAAAGCTGTCTTGGATCTTAGTCTACATATCCCAAAAAGTCAGTAAGTGATAAGATATAACCTTTTTAATAACTTTCGTGGAGGAGACACTAATGTCCAAAGGCATTTGGTGAGAACACATTTAAGTGTGTGTGTGTGTGTGTGCGCGCGCACGCGCGCGTGCGTGTGCACGCTTTATGAAAGTCACTCTAGAGTAGACCTTGCTGGTTTGTTTGTGAGTTTTTGTTCTCACCTGAAGTGATGGGCAGTTAAGTGGCACATTTCTGACTGAGACTGTGATCAAGGGAAATAGCAGCTATACTCAGCAATACTTATGTATGCATTTACGTCATGAAATAATTACTGAGCCCCTACTTTGTGTCAGACATTATAGCAGATACTGAATAGTGAGTGAGACAAATAAAATTCCTGCCTTCACAGAATGTATCAGTTAGGAAAAACAATTATTAATATTAAATACTTCAACAAATAAATATTTAATTCAGTATCACATAGTGTTTATTGCTATGAAGGAAAACTAAATCCATATATGGAATAGAAAGCTTGGGGCAGGGATTCTTTTAGGTAGAGTAATCAAAGGTGACATTTGGACAAAAGCTTGAATAAGGTAAAGGAGAAGGTCACATTGGGGCTGTAGGGAAATAGCAAATGCAAACTCTCTGAGTGAGGATGGGCTTGGTGTGTCTAAAGAATTGAATTTCACCCTGACTGGCTTGGCTCAGTGGATAGAGCGTCGACCTGCGGACTGAAGGGTCCTGGGTTCAATTCCAGTCAAGAGCATGTACCTTGGTTGCGGGCACATCCCCAGTAGGGAGTGTGCAGGAAGCAGCTGATCGATGTTTCTCTAATGGAGGTTTCTAACTCTCTATCCCTCTCCCTTCCTCTCTGTAAAAAATCAATAAAATATTTTTTTTTTAAAAGAATTGAATTTCTGGCTGAATGGTTTCTATAATTCTTTTTATGTATTCCCAGATGAGCATTCAAGAATATGAACTAATCCACCAAGACAAAGAAGATGAAACGTGCCTTCGTAAATACCGTAGACAGTGTATGCAGGATATGCACCAGAAGCTGAGTTTTGGGCCTAGATATGGGTTTGTGTACGAGCTGGAAACTGGGGAGCAATTCCTGGAGACCATTGAAAAGGAGAAGAAAATCACCACCATCGTTGTTCACATTTATGAAGAGGGCATTAAAGGCTGTGATGCTCTGAACAGTAGCCTAACATGCCTTGCAGCCGAATACCCTATGGTCAAGTTTTGTAAAATAAAAGCTTCTCATACAGGTGCGGAGGACCGCTTTTCCTCTGATGTACTCCCCACACTGCTCGTCTACAAGGGTGGGGAACTCATAAGTAATTTTATTAGTGTTGCTGAACAGTTTGCTGAAGAATTTTTTGCTGGGGATGTGGAGTCTTTCCTAAACGAATATGGGTTACTACCTGAAAGAGAGATACATGCCCTAGAGCAGACAAACATGGAAGAAGATATTGAATAAGATTCCCTATGTCAATATTTCATATTACTCTTTTACATATTGAACATTGATTTGGTAGTTTCCATATTCTTTTAGAGAATACCAAGTATGGACATAGCTAGTCTAATGTGGAAATAAAATCAGGTTGACACTAAGGTTGTATGAATAGCATTTCTTAGTATTAGTTACTAAAATTGATATTAGTATTAGTTACTAAAATTGATATAATGCTTTATTACAAAATATGGTAGTCTTCAGAAACATGTTAGTAGACAAAGAGAAAATGGATAATATTGTTTTCAAAAATCCCTTTCAAGCCCTAGCTGGTTTGGCTCGGTGGATAGAGCGTCAGTCTGAGGACTGAAGGGTCCCAGGTTCGATCCCGGTCAAGGGCATGTACCTTGGTTGTGGGCACATCCCCAGTGGGGGGTGTGCAGGAGGCAGCTGGTTGATGTTTCTCTCTCATCGATGTTTCTAACTCTCTCTCTCTCTCTCTCCCTTCCTCTCTGTAAAAAAATCAATAAAATATATTTTTTAAAAATCCCTTTCAAGTTATGTATTAACTTCTTTTACTCCTTGTTTTTTCTGCAAGGTTATAATTTGGACTTTAAAAAATATATCATTAAGCCCTAGCCAGTTTGGCTCGAGTGGATAAAGCATTGCGCTCGGACTAAAGGGTCCCGGGTTTGATTCCGGTCAAGGGCACATGCCTGGGTTGTGGGCTCGATCCCCAGCATGGGGCGTGCAGAAGGCAGCTGATCAATGATCTTCTCTCATCATTGATGTTTCTGTCTCTCTCTTCCTCTCCTGTCCTCTCTGAAAACAATAAAGATATGCGAAAAAATAAAAAATATATCATTAATTATCACTTTGTCTATGTAATAAGAATAAAGTCTCATAAGGAAATAAATATTCTATTTGAAGTCTATTCTTTTTCAGGGATTACAAAATCAAGGTCCTAAAAACATTATATAACCTAAAATTTTAGAAATATCATTCAGAAAGATATATTCCAACCAAAGTAATGCACAAGAAACTTAGAAACTTTGTAGAGCATTAAAGTTGTAAGAAAGAAAAAAAGAAATATTTGTTAGACATAAAATTTCAGAAGTTAACATTCTCTATTAAAAAGACAGTGTAGAAGCAAGGCTTTTTTATTCTTGGGACAAAAGAATAACATTTAGTATCCTATCTAATAAAAGAGAAACATGGTAATTAGCATATGACCGCTACCCTTCCCATTGGCTAATCAGTGAGATATGCAAATTAACTGCCAGCCAAGATGGCGGCTGGCAGCCAGGCAGCTTGAAACTAACATGAGGCTTGCTTGCTTCAGTGACAGAGGACTCCA